GTTAATAAAACAAATCTAAAATTAAATATTTTACTTAGAAAATATATAGCTAAAATTAATATATAAGTTTTTATTAAAAAAATTAAACTTTTTAATAAAAACACAGGCAAATTTGCCTGTGTTACAATTTAAGGGATAAAATAATGATGCTATATAATGATTACTAACTTTATTGGGATTTAAATATGTAACATAGAACCCTGGATATCTCTGATATAGATCATATTTTTTTTTTTTTTAGCAAATTGCAGAAAATTTGGATAGAAATCCAAATTTGAGTTTTAGCAAAATTGACTATTTCATCGAATTATATATATTATATTTTATTTTTAGCAAATTATCTGTATTTTGGAAGAATTATACTCAAGAATAAGCTACTTTTTTTTTTAAACTACTATGATTTTTCAAAATTCAAAAGAAGGTGCTTAATTTTAAATTTTTTAATCAAAAATCCAAGATTATACATCTTTTCTTGAATTTTAAAGAAATATAAAATTAGAACAAGTTTATTTAAAACATAAAGTTAGAATTAATTAGTAAATCTTTGAGAATATTAGCATTTTTAGTATTTTTATTAATAAAATTATATAAAATATTAAAATTCTTAAAATTTTACTAATTGATTATAACTTTATGCTCTAATAAACCTTGTTTAGCATACAAAATACATTATGCTAATATATTTAATTGGATAAATATATGTATCGCACTCTGTGATGCATTTATATTACATTTATATATATTTATTTGTTGTTTATGCATAATATAAATAAATAAACCGCTTGTATACGGAACGGCAGGTCAATATGTACTAATTAGAAAGAAGTTATAGGAACATGCAGGTGAATACATATGTGAGACATGTACTGCTCTGTTAGGTTTATCTCAAGGATAAACTAGCTTAAGTTAGTAAGTCCTAAGGTAGGGTGCAAAATCCAATGCGGGTAGATGCAAAATCCACATATAAATAGTGAGTAATACCTATGGGTTAGAGAGCTGATGATGGTAGTTAGAACCAAATGGTTTAAATGGGTACCCCATAGTTGGGGTGCAGATATAGCAGATAGTGTGAAATCTTTAGCATAGCATTAACATTTTGGCGAACCACTTAAATTAGGCACTAAAAGTATATATGTGGCTTAATGTACCATTATTGTAATTACACTATAAAACATCGTTTATACTCTAATAAAAAGTTCCCAGGCCAATGAGGTCACCTTAATACCAAAATAAACTGCTTTTTTGTTAGTTAGGATTAGGGTTAGGGTTAAATAGGGATAGAATATAGAAGAAGTAAATTTTATAGTAAAATTTTGCAAAGGAATTTTTTTTATTAGAAAGCAAAGCATAGTTTTATCTTTTAATTTTAAGTTATAATAACTTTTGTCAAAATAAACATTTGTTTTAAATCTTCCTGATAGGGTTCGGGGCATGCCCTTCTATACATATATAATAATAGGCAATTATAAATATAAAAACAGTAATTAGTAAGATTAGGATAGAAAAAAAATTAAACCATACTCATATATATACCCAGAGCTAAGTCATGTCTCTTATATACAAATATATTCTTTTTAAATTAAATATTGTTTGCAACTTTTTAAAAATCTTAAATATTAATTTAGTATTTATGTTTTTGGCTTTAACTAAATTATTAAACTTATTAGCCAATCAAAATGGCTTTAAATATTACATGACAAGAGCATGTCTTTTGGACTTGAGACATGCTATGAGCATGCCCTAGGGGCATGCCCTTAGGGGCATGCCTCATGCCTTTGTGCCCTAAACTCTATTGGTATACCATGGATATGCCATGACCTGGCATACCACAATGGTATGCCCAAGGGTGGCATGCCAGTCACCCTAGTTTTGACTTATTGCACTACCTCCTAGAAGAAGCAAAAGATTATATTAGCCCTGTCAAGAGCCAGATTTTCTTTTCTTTATCAAAAGTAAAATTTATATGCATAAGCATAAAAGATTTACAACATATAAAAAAAAAAAAAGAGAATAGAAAGATAAAACAAAAAAGAAATAAAAAAAAAAAAGATGAAGAAATAAAAGAATATAAAAAAAAAAAAACAAAGAAAAAAGCTTTTATGGAGCTGACTAATTCTATATTAACTAAAATAAAAAAAAACTAAACTAAAAAAACTATTAAAATAAAATACACTATTATAATTTATGTCAAGTAAATATATACAGTACAGTCATCCCTTGTTAATATCAACCTATTGGGCCCAGGCAATTTGGTTGATATATATGGGGTAGATAACAAAGAAAAAAATGTGCAAAAATTTTATTTTGGTTAATAATAATTAAAATTATTTATAAAGGTAAAACAAGTTATCCAACAAGCTTATATAAACATGAAAAAAATTCTTTTTGTTATTTTTTCATGTATTACGATATAATTATGCTTATTCAAATTAAAACTATATTCAGACATCATTTTGCGAACTCTGGATCTTGGAATTTTGTCGATTTTATCTAGAAGATATATATTCTGGTTATTGGCTAGTATTATTATTTATTTATTTATTATTTTTTTTTTAGTTTATATCAATATATTGTACTGTCTATTCCTTTGTATTCTGAATTTTGGTTCTCTATTACAATACAGTATCAAGAATTCTGATCAAGATAATCACAATTTGGATTTTTATATAGGGTATTTCATTATTCGTATTCTCTTTTTTTTTATTAACAAGGAAATGAATGAATACAGCATTATATATTTTATCAATAAATATAATGTGTATTCACTTCATCTTTTTATTATTATATTTCATTAATATTTTTGTAGATTACAGATAACGAAAGAAGCAAATATGAGAAAAAATAAAGAAAAAGAATAAAACAGTAAAAAAAAAAAGGATTGTAACATGTTTTTCTATAATTCTATATCTAGTTGGCAATTTCTTTTTGTAAACTTGGACTAACCTTTTCTATAACTAGTACCTTAGAAAAAGTTAGTTAATACTTTTTGCTTCTTTGATTAAGATAAATTTAGTCGAATTCGTTTTAACAAGTTATGTAATACTGGCAAGTTTTGGTCTTCCACAAATTTTGTAGGATCCTGTTGTTCCACATATAATATAAGTGATTAGCATTGCTTCAAAGCAATGGAATGAGAATTTTAACATTGCTATTGTTATCACTATTACTGAAATCAGACTGATGACAAATTTCTTTTATAATAGCAGCCTCATCAATAGTAACTTCTTCTGTTTCAAGGTTATTATCAACCCAAATATAATTACTAGTAGCCATTACTCTTATATGATGAGAGGGAATTTCAAAAATAAGTTGTTCAATCTCTTCTTCAACTTCAAGTTCAGCTTCTTCGACTTCTTTGACTTCATTTACTTTATTTGCTTCGGCTCTTTCAACTTTATCTTCTTCAACTTCATCTTCATTAATATCGGCTTCAATTTCATCTCTAATTCTATTTACTATATTTGAACTCAACCAATTCCACTCATTTATCAGCACTATTTGAGTTTTTTTCCAGCAGTTAAGAATTGTTTGAGGGGTTACATTGTTCCATGCTTCTGTAATTAGGGTTATATCATATAAATTACAATTTTGCAATACATGTAATTTTATATAAATTTTAGTAAATCAGATTTTATGTAATTTTCATTACGTTATACTGTACAAGTGCTGCCAAGAGAAAAGGAACCTCTGTTTTTTAATCAATTATTAAATCAAATATTTGATTAAAAAATGGAGATGTCTTTTTCCTTTGGCTACACTTATATATTATACTATCTTTCAAAGTTCAGCCAGCATTTTTGCATTATATAAGATCTGAATTGTATTTTTTTAATTACTGTTCAAAATTACAAATTACATGAAATGCTAATTTATAAAAACTTATTCAAAATTATATAAAATTATGAAAATTACTGTAATTTTAACATTCTTATCCATAATGAACTTGATTGTATCTAAAATACTAAGTTTAGGTATTTCTTTCTCATTATTAAAAGCATCTACTAGATTTTGAAGAAATAATTTCCAATAATGAGCTTTAAAGAATTGATAATATTGGCATCATATGGTTGCAAACAGGATGTCATATAAGGTGGTAAAAGATGTAGTTTAATATAAGAAGATTCATAGGTTTCTGGATGTGATGAAGTGCTATCGATTAACAAAAGAATTTTTCTATATTTGAGCTAATATACAGAATTTAGAGATTTTATCTAATGATCAAAAAATATTATCTGTCATCCATGCTTTTTTACTAGCATCATAAGTTATGCCAAGATTTTGCTTCCAAATTTCTTTGAAATATCATAGTTTTGGTAACTTTTCTATAACTAATGGTTTGAGTTTATCCATTCCAGTTGCATTTGTATATAAAAGAATAGTTATTCTCTTTTTATTTTTTTTTTTCTTTAACAAATTTTGTTGCAAGTGTTTGATCAAGCATCATTCTATAATTAAAGATATTAAAATTATAGTAATTTTCGTAATTTTGTATAATTTTAAGTAAGTTTTCATAATTAGATTTTCATGTAATTTTAAACATGATATTAGTTTTAGAGATTAAATTTTGGTAATTAAAAAAGTTACAATTTGTATTATATATTTAAATCAACCGAACTTTTGTAAAGTTGGCATTTTATATATAACGTGATACAAATTACATGAAATTTGATTTATGAAACCTATGTAAAATTATATGTATTGTAAATTTGTAATTGATATAACACAACTCTACCTATAGTAGAGACCAGTTTCATCTGCATTATACACATCTTCTGGCTGGTATTGTGAGAGTAATTTGACCAATTGTTATCTATATTCAGGAAGGTTTTTAGTGGGCATGCTTGCGGATTCTCCTTTGATTTTGAATCTTCGAATATCATATCATTTTTTAAATTTATTTAACTAATCTTGGCTTGCTTTAAAATCTTCTTCACTGATATTTAATAAGTTTGCAAATTTTTTGGCTTGAATTTGTAGAATCTCATTGGTTACTATTCCATTTTGTGAAAGAATTTGCCGTATCCAAATATTTAAGGCAGTTTCTAACTCCACAAACTTTGCTAAACGGTTAACTATTTTATTTTCTTTAGCTTCTGCTAGTTGCATAGACAACCACTTTTCATTTTTTTTCAAATTTTTGAAATTGTATTCTGGTCACAACTGTATTCTTCAGCAAGTTGATTAATATTAATCGATGGATCATTTTGTTTACATTGATATATTTCTTGTTTGGTTTTTATTGAAATAGTCATACGTTTCTTTTGTGGCTATCTCAATTCTTTCATTTTTTTCTACTATTACAAATTGCTAATTTTTTTTTTTTTTTAGAAACTTAGTAAGGTCCCAAAAAAAAGCTTAATTTCACAATTTGCTATTTGACAATTTGTGGTAAAGATATATTGAATGATCGTGAGTTTCTATTTTTTTTTAAAACAAGACTTTCTTATAACATGCTTTCACACACCTTTACTATTGTATTGGACATCTCTATTATGGAGTTGCCTTTACTATGTTAGGTGTTATCTTTGCTATTGTATAGGAATTTTATTAAAATAATACTAGCATGTTCTATTTTTTCATATTCTTTGATACAATAACCTCTCTTATTTTTATATAACATATCTGACACTTTTGGGGGTTTTTTTGCAAATTTCCTGATAAGTATTGCACATTCGCCCTTCATATTGTGTGTTGTTATTAACCTATGCTATTTTAATTAATTTTATAGATTCTCGCAGCTTCAATCACAAAAGGTCTGCAAGAAAATTCTATTAGGCAATATTGTGTATGCATATAGACATATGGGCATATGTACATATATAGGATAAACATAAAGCGTTTATTTATTACTGTATCAAAAAGGAAAAGTGAGAATCAATGAAAATAACATCTTCTGAAACCCACTTTTCTAAAAAACTAATTCCCAACATCACATAGAGTTAGGGTTAGCATTGCATTTTGTTGTAAAAACATGTTTTTGGCAAATTATTACCTATGTAATGTTGGGTAAATATATGTCAAGGAAATAACTGATTCTTATTAAACTGAGAGTTTTATTTAGTGTGAGTTTTATGCAATTTATATTAAAATTGAGCCTATTAAGAAATTTTTAGATAAATTATTCTATATTTCGAATAGCTATTATAATTTCCATGCTAAATTTTGTAAGCTTGATTATTATAATAAAATTTTATTTTTATGTTACAGTAATCAAATATTTTTTAAGTTAGAATTAGTATTTATAATAAGGCTAAGTGTTAGCGGGCATATAGTAAAATTTTTTAAGGTTTTTTAGAGCACAAAAGGTGGTTTTCTAAACAAGTTTTTTGAGAAATAAGTAATTTTTGAAAAATAAACGTTCTTAATTTTTTGGTTATATACTGAATGAGACTCATTATTGGATAATTATCAAATGAAATAAAAATGTGATTGTAGTATATGTATGAACATATGTATTTCGCTGACAGTTTTTATGGACAGTGCATGCTGACTGGCATTAACTAAATTCACCTGCTTAACTCTAACCCTAATACTAATTCCGGCCACTGAACTGTCCCTAAAAACTGTTTGTAGCTTCTGCATACATATTTTTTTTGTAATCATGTGACCTATTTCATGGATTTCTATTGGTTAAAGATATTTTTGAGGAAATTTTACTTATAAAAATTTTTTATTTATGTTAATAGTGATATCTATGAGATTTGTTATATATGCGGGGAAATTTTAATATATGGAAATTGGTACTATAGCATGTGTTGATAATAACAAAAGATTGATATCAATGGGGTTAATATTAACGAGGAACAACTGTATAAAAATTTTATAACAAATGCAATATTTGTATATTTTTATTATAAAGCTTTGCTTTATTGTTCTATTATTCTTTGACTTATAACCAACTTCAGATACCTCTTTAACCCAAGACTCAATTCATATTATATAGAGTAGTATTATATTTATGAATAAACAAAATATATAGTTACAATCTACTGAGTTTGTCTGAATTTGAAAAGTAAACAATGTCAATCTTTTGAAAGGATATGCCAAATTCTTACTTTTTTTGAAAATTTTTTTAAGAAGGCAAGAGTAAGTAAGAAAAAAACCACTTGATTAAATAAAAGAATATGGCTTGAGAAAAACATATATTTTATTGTTTTCTTTGTTTTTCTTTGAAGTAATAACCATGTAGCTTCATTGACAAAGTTGAGATTTGCCCACACTTTATCAAGATTTTTTATACAAGAGCACCTCTGCCAGTTATCTTGTATAATATTACTCTTAGTTTACATGCCAAATATTCTTTTAGAGGAGTTCTGAGAATAGCAACATTGACCTCTAGACAAACTATATAGGCCACAACTCTCTAACAAAATTTTGTTTTTCTGTTAGTATGGTGCTGAAAGGTTATACCTAACAATTACGTGAAATGTTTCAATTTTCATATGACTGTAATTGACTAATAAAATTAATATATTTTGTTATTCTTGTATATACTGCACCAAAAGTATAGCATTTTTTTTTAAAATGCTAAAACTTTTTAAAGACAAATTTTTTCAAAAAAACTGACCAATAGCTTTATATACAAAGGTGAGCTCTACAAAGTTATTAGTTAATTTTTTTTAAAAAGCTCTTCTGTAGAAAGTTATATCTGTTCAAAAAAAAGCCTCAATCTTCAAATCGGTATAACACTTTATAGAAAAATTCTTTAAAAAAAATTAACTGATAACTTTGTAAAACTCACCTCCGTGTATAAAGTTGTCAGTCAGTTTTTTTGAAAAAATTTGTCTTTAAAAAGTTTTAGTGTTTTAAAAAATGCATTAATTTTATTAGTCAATTGCAGTCACGTGAAAATTGAAACATTTCACGTGATTGTTGGGTATAAGCTTCCTGCACCATAGGAATTTTTGGTTCAAGTAATTGTCAAAAAGAGTTCGTTCTCAACTTAATAAATTGTAATATAATTATTATAAATATAAATTATCTTTATATAAATATTTATTAGTATCTATCTTTATTTTATAATAAATTTATTATTAAAATTTAAAGTTAAAATACAAGATTAATCTTTAGTATAATAAGCATATAATCATAATAAAATTATAATACACTATAAAAATTAGCTATTTGAGCTAATTTAAGTAAATCTATAAATAGTTTGAATTAGGTTGAAAATTAAAATTTAAATTGGCTCAAAATAGTTTGTTTTTATACATTATAATTTTATAATAATTCTATATTCCCACCTATGCTAAAAAAGATCCAAAACAATAATTTTATATACCTTACAACTGCAGCTTACAGCTTTAGTTTTGCAACCTCTTCGGCACTAAAATCAATTCTATTTATTTATATAAAAAAAACATAAATAATAGTCAATTAATATGAACTTACTAAAAACAAAACCCTTTCAATTTAATCTTCTGTTAGCTATATCTATACTATCTATAAATAAAATTAATAAAGATATTATATACCTTAATCCAACAATCTTCTTCGCTTCAGTAACAGTTAACCTCCAAGTAATAGGGCTTGTGGCCTTTGTAGCACTTCCCCAGTAGTCATAAATTTCTGATAACTATTAATTATTTAATTACAATTATATATGTTGATAAATATAAAAAGTAAGAATTTTGCACAAAAAGAAATTTTGTAATTAGGTCAATGGATGTCAATTTCAAACCATGAAAAATTACTAAATTTCAAAACCACGCAAGTAAATAATAATGATAATGATAAATATGACTTACACTTTCCAAATTCAATAACGTTGAAATTTGGTTTAATCTTGTTAATTTATCTCTGAATACCCATCGCATTTTTGTGGAGAAATAGTTGTTTACAGCCCTTAAATCTTTGTCAAATCTGAGGGCACCAAACTTTTTAAAAATAATGTAATAGTAATGAAAATCTGTTAACTATGATACAAGATGCATGAATTAAAGATTTACCTGATTGAATTTAGTGCCGAAAACAGTTTTTTCCAGCATATTAGTAACTGATTCTAATATATGCATCATTAATTGATTATAATTGTTATCTGAGAATGTTGACTATTAGAAAAACAAAATTAATTCTTTCAAATCAATTTTATGTCATATCAAACCAACTATTTATAGAATGCTTAATTAAATACCTGATAAATTTGAATTAACACATCAAATCCAGATACAAAACGTTTTGCAAATCCATCATTTGCTTCTTGTTCATGATATTCATCTTCGCTAAGAACATATTTAATGTCTTTATAAGCTTCTTGCAAAATTGGACGAATTCTTGGTTTTACCATTTGTGTAAATAGTTGTTCAAGTCCATTCTATTAATTCATATAATCAAAATATACGTAAAATATTTGTAAATTTCTCACTATAATATATTTTGTACCATATCTTAATCAAAATTTAATAAAGAACCTGTAAAATTTGCTGAAACTTGTTTGTCATAGTATCATTAAGTCGCGTAAGGCATTTTTGTATTTTTTCTTTGTTATCTTCACTAATTGAAGATAGCATCATTAATTCGGTCGTAAGTCGTTGCATATAGTCACAACTTACGTCTAAATTATTTAACAGTATCTGTTAATTCAATCGATGTTACATAATGTGAATTAATGTTTAGATAAAGCTTTACCAAACAAACAAAAAAAAAAAAAGTAATTAAATAGCCAACCATATAACCAGTTTTAGCATCTTTTTGCTCCGGAGTAGCAAACGCCGTTACCAGTCTTTTCTGAAACAAAGTAATATAGTCCAATTCTAAACTTTGATTTACAAGATTAACCATCGAAGTCAAACATTCCATGTCAGAGGTCGATAATGCTCGAGTAAGACATTCCTTGAGAATGTAAAAAACATCGCCAACACAACTTGAAGTTGTACTACCCTCATCATAATCGTCAATTATCATTGCCTGTTTTTACAGATAAACGAACTAAAAAGATTTGTAAGACTATTATAAAATAAGTTTATATATATCGTATAAGATTAATAGAATACCTTTTCAATTGCTTTTCTAAAGAAATATTCCTCCATGACAAGAAAATCAGCCATCAACGATTTAACTTGTTTAGACAATTCACTATCCCTCATTATACTCGTTGGATCATAATCATTCCCGTCTTTTTCAATTAATGATACATCAGTTCCCTTACTTGCTTTCATAGCTTCAGCCTCTGACTGCATATTGAATATATATCAAACATATCCAAATTAATACTAATATATATTTATCATCAAATTAACTATAACTTTGACAT